ATTTTCAATTTGAGTATTTACTTAAGAAATTAATCATTGGAAATATGAATACAAAGAGATCAGTAAAAGCACAAAAATGCTAAAATCTAAGTCTTGTTATTGGAGCACAACAACTGAACATTTCTCATTTCCTCATAATACATAGTGTTATTTACAAACCACATAAAGCACACAAAATAACTCTAATGGTAGTAAATATGTATTATCATTCTAAATCAAGCCATAACTAATGACACTCTGGGAAAGGTTTAGTTCATACTGAGGCTAGGTGTCTTGCAAATGAAAAGCTATTTAAGTTCTAAAATCAATTGACTATATAATACCATGTTTTCTGATGGGAATAGTGCACAAAAGATGCCTGGAAGTTGTTTTTTACAGTGGCTAAATGAGATTCTACCTCTGGTTATTATCAACCCATACATTCATCATTATAAACCGCTTCATTTTTATTTTATTATATTGATTTACCTTAGCACCCAAGACAGTTTGTACTCCTACAAAATTCAGAAAACATTGATTTGCTTAAATTATTCAATACTTTACTGTATGGCTATTATGTCATTTAACATTTTAGACAAATCAATACAACTTTTTTTAATTGCCTGTCACATACCTAAGGTATCGCAAATGCATTTTGCTGGAATCATTAATTTGCACTGTGCTGATGACATTTTTATAAATCAACTAGTTTAAAACAATAAAGTAGCATATGTAGGGAAAAAGTACTAAGATATGAAATGAATAATTTAAACTAGTTCGAATATATAACATTGCAGAATACTTTATTGTTTATAATAATCCTATTTCTCAAATAGCTGAAAGGTAGGCTGCTGTCTTCTGAGCACATTGTATTTTTTTCTTCTCTCTTTTAAACTCTGCACAGTATAATAGATGGGATGCTAAGTAAGCTTGATGTAATGTTTTCTATTTTGAGAAATCTACTGTAGAGACTTTTGAGTACAAGGCAGATGAACCATTGTAATTGTGAGGAAAGATATCTTTCATGGGATGATTTGCTATATATGTATATTAGAAAAAACTGAAAAAATTAATAATTAAAATAATAAAAATAAAGTTATACAGCAAGAAAATTATCTAACACATGTTACTTTTACTTCAACCTGCTGATATTATCTTCTTTCTGATCATTCTAAAAAGAGTTATTGTGAATGTTGGGCTCATTTTCCCGCCTAGAAAATAAGCCCTATAAGGACAGGGATTTATGCCTGTTTCATTTATTTTGCTATATAAATAAGGTCTATGACATTCCTGAAATAGAGTAGGTGCTCAGTAATATTTGTTAACTGAGAACTGGATCAAAAAAGTATAATTTTTGGTCTGTCTTTGATTTATCTGGGATACTACCACAAGCAGCTTGATGAGACTCTTTTTGTGTTTTCCTACTACCTTAAATAATGCTGAGTTAAATAAAACACATACAACATAAAAAAGTGTCAGGCTTAAGTGGACAAGTGACCACATTATACTGAAGCTGAATTTGAACCCAGAGCAACTGTTGCTAAAATATCAACTATGCATTACAAAATGACCTGAAAAATAACAGAATTCTAAGAAGAAAATAACAGTCACCCAAAGTCACAGTAGCCAGGAGATAGAATGGATCACGCATTTCGTTTTTGTAAGAGAGTGTGGATAAATAGTGGACAGGGTTGTGTAAAGCAGCGTGTAAAAGCCATGGGAAGGTGCACACGGTTGGCCTGCTCCTGCTGCCCCGTGTCTGTTTCCCTGAGCACCATGGAGCTCTGTCAATCAAAACAGTTTGCACAACATTCAGGGAGGAAGTTCAGGAAGTAGTTGTCAGAAATGATGCATGCTACATATGGTTGCTATATTTAGCACCAAAGTAATTCATTTATCTTTATAGACACACACACAGACAGGGCGAATTCAAAAGTAGTCTTCCGACAGAGAAAATGTCGCAATCCTATACACACACTGTCAAGAAGCCCTTGTGTTCTACAATGTAAAGGGCTTTTTTTAAAATTACAAGCTATATTTCAAGCAAAGCAACCTCTTCTAAAAATAATTCCATTCGATCAAAGTTGCAAGAGTGCTACTGGTTATTATCTCAGGGGCAAACCCAGAATCAAAACACAGTATAATCTCTCATGCCCAGAAAAGGGCCCCATTAATGGCTATCTATCAAAGGAGGGAGGTTTTATTTAATTTTAATTTTTATTTTTTTGAAAATATTTAAATATTTATTTATTAATAATAATAAGCCCATTACATTTTTTTTTAAATTTTATTTTGTCGATATACAATGTGGTTGATTATGGTGGCCCATTACTGAAACCTCCCTCAAAGGAGGGAGGTTTTAAAAGATCACATACACAATCAGGGCAGCCAAAGGAAAATATAAAGTTCTTAAATATATGCATAATAAACCCTCCTGGTTTTATAATCAGGCTGAAATCTCACTGATGGGGTCTGGATGAAATTCCGAATTAAAAGAATGAAGCTGAAATCCTCACTACCTCAAGGTAGCAGCTGAAGATTTTAATGTATGTACATTTTTAGTCACTAAATTTTTGTATCATCTGGAGTGTGATTAATGCCCAAAGACGTTTAAGAACTTCTAATGACACTAATAGCCATTGGTTGCCATTGAAAAGAGGTCCTGCTACTCAGCTATAAAAACGAATGAAATACTGCCATTTGCAACAACATGGATGGACCTTGAGAGAATAATATTGAGTGAAACGAGTCAGGCAGAGAAAAAGAAATACCACATGTTCTCACTCATTGGTGGGAGCTAAAAAATAAACAAATTAATTTACCCACATACACCCACAAAAAAACCCAGGGGGTGGGATGGGGAAGAAGATATAACAACTATACTTTTATGAAGTTGTTACAACAAGCAAACGGAAAGGACATTCTTGGGGGGGAGGGGAGAGAGGGAGGAGGGAGGGAGGTGTCGGTGATGGGCCATAATAATCATATACATTGTATATTGACAAAATAAAAATTTAATGAAAAAAAAAAAGTTTTAGTATCCAGATCACTAATAAAAAAAAAAAAGAAAGACAAAAACCACTGGTATTTTGAAAAATTCCTTTGCATATACATATGAATTCTTATGCTCCAGTGACTTTCCAGTCAATTCTGCTTAATGCTACTAAGTATTAAGAAAATTTTAGTATTACCTATTTTAAGTACAGGAATATATTACCCTCAAAGGGTGTAAACTATTGAATGAGTGTGTTGTAATTATCATAATTATTTACTCATTGATTTTTTTAATTTAATATTTTAATTTTAACATAGTTGAATGTACATCTCTGTGGAGTGCAGAGTTGAATATCAATACTTGTGAGCAACATGTGATGCTCAAATCAGAATAATGATAACATGCAATAATATACAATGTCCTTGCTATTCATGGCCCTTTACCAATTCCTCCCTCTCCACTCCCTTTCCAAATGGAGTAACCTCAGTTCTCATTTTGAGAGTTCAATGTATTATCGTGAATGTTGCATCTTTCTTTTATTTATATGTTTATTATTTTAGCTTCCAATTATGAATGAGAATACACAGAATTTCTCTTTCTGTGCCTGTCTTATTTCACTTAATATGATATTCTCTAAGTTCATCCATCTTGCTGTGAATGGCAATATTTCATTCTTTTTTATGACACAGTAGTATTCCATTGTGTGAATATACCACATTTTCCTTAGCCAGTCCTCTGATGATGGACATTTAGATTGGTTCTGATTTTTGACTATTGTAAATAGAGCTGCAATAAACATGGGGGTGCAGGTATCTCTTTGACATGAGGCTTTCCATTCCTTTGGGTATATACCCCACTATGGAATTGATGGATCATATGGCAGTTCTGCATGAACATATTTATGGAATATTCACACTTTTTTTTTGTAATGGCTTCACTAATTTATAGTCCCACCAACAATGTAGGAGAGTTCCCCTCTCTCCACATCATCACCGGCATTTGTTGTTCTCAATCTTTTTGATGATAGCCAATCTAACTCGGTTGAAATGGTATCTTAATATGGTTTTGATTTTCATTTCCCTGATGCTGAGTGATGCTGAGCATTTTTTCATGTGTCTGTTGTCCATTTATATATTTTCATTTGATAAATATCTATTCAGTTCCTTTGCCTATTTTTATTTATTTATTTATTTATTTTTACTGTTAAGTTGTTTGAGTTTCTTGTATATTCTGGATATTAATCCTTTGTCATATGCATGGTTGGCAAATATTTTCTCCCACTCTGTAGGTTGTCTTTTTACTCTGTTAATTGTTTATTTTGCTGTGCAGAAGGTTTTTAGTTTGATGTGTGGCCCATTTGTTTATTTTTCCTTTTGTTGCCTGTACTTTGGGGCTCATAGTCATAAATTCTTTGCCTGGTCCTACTTCCTGAAGTGGTTCTCCTATATTTTCTTTCAAGAGTTTAATAATTTCAGGTCTTATACTTAACTTCTTAATCTATTTTTAGTTGATTTAGGTATATGGTGAGAGGTACAGATCTAGTTTCATTCTTCTACATATGGATATCCAATTTTCCCTGCACCATTTATTGAAGAGACAGTCTTTTCCCTGATGTATGTTCTTGTTGCCTTTGTTGAAGATCAGTTGGCTGTAGGTTTGTGGGTTGATATGTTGGTTCTCTGTTCTGTTCCATTGGTCTGAGTGTCTGTTTTTATGCTAGTACTGTGCTGCTTTGGTTACAATAGCTTTGTAGTATAGTTTGAAGTAAGGTATTATTATGCCCCCAGCTTTCTTTTTTTTTTTTGGTCAAGATTGTGTTGGCTATTCAGGGTCCTTTGTTCTTTCATATGAATGTTAGAATTGTTTTTCTATCTCTGTGAAAAATATCTTTGGTATTTTGATGGGAATTGCACTGAATCTGTAGATTGCTTTGGGTAATATGGACATTTTCACAATGTTAATTCTTGCATTCCAGGAGCAAAGAACGTCTGTCAATATTTTTGTTTCCTCTTTAATTTTTTTTTTTCAGGTTCATAATTTATTGTACAAATTGACTATCACAGGATGAGTTGACAATAGCTTCTCCAGGCATGGGAACTTAACAGGTGAGGTCAGTTTAAAATCCATTTATGTTGCTTTCACAGCTGGAGTTTTTTTAGACCTTAACTTGAAATATAAGATTATCAAAGCAATGCTTCCATATGTGGCCAGTACACAGTTCATTCTACCTGTAAGAGTGTGAGAGTTGAAATACTTTTTAATACCAGTGAACTGGAATTGGGCATCATTTTCTGCACCTGCCATGATTTCAATCTGGCCAAAACCACAAATTCCACAGCCGGTGTCCTTCAACGTACACAGCCGCCCCTCGGCCCGACCGGAAGAAGGCCTCCTCTTTAATTTTTATCAGTAGTGATTTGTAGTTCTTATTTTAGAGATCTTTCACCTCCTTGGTTGGTTCCTAGGTATTTTATTTTGTGTGTGTGACTATTGTATATGGGCTTGCTTTCCTTGATTTCATTTTCTGCTAGTTCATTGTTGGAGAATAAAAGTGCTACTAATTTTTGCATATTGATTTTGTATCCTTCAACTTTGCTAAAATTGTTTATCAACTCTAAGAGTGTTTTTCACTGTGATTTTGGGCTGTTCTATATATAGGACTATGTTATCTGCAAACAGGGAAAATCTGACTTCATCTTTTCCAATCTGGATGCCCTCTGTTTCTTTGTCTTGCCTGGTTGCTCTGGCCAGAACTTCTAGTACTATGTTGAATAGGAGTGGTGTGCGGAGTATACATAAAGCAAATGTATTTCACAGGGCCTGGTTTCCCAAAGCCTTGCAGTTTCAAATATTAACCTTGCAAAAGACAGGAAATTTTCCCCAGGCTATAGCCTCTGTTGTAAGATAAAGAATTGTAACACAGCAAGGTTGCTGGCTCAAAGACAGGTTATTAATTGATATGTAAAGATACTGGGAAATTGCTGTAAGAAGAGAATGTTTTCTAAGATCAAGCTTTTATTGGTGGATCAACTTAACTTCTTGAAAATTGCATTATGGAATGTCACCTTGCTTTTTTTACTGAATGTTACCAGCTTTTATTGTTAAACTTGTTAAAACATACTTAGAAAAAACCCACTTATGTTTCCTTTCTGTAACTTCCTGGTCTGGAGAATAAATGCAGGAAGAGAACCCAAATTCGTGGTTAATTTCCCAAATGGAAGGAATGCCTTTATCTTGAGGGTTCCTGGAGATTAACCCCTTTCCAAGGCTTCTCACTGCTCAGAAGAGATGGGCTTTGAGTAAACTTTGATGGCTCCATCACCCAGGGGAAAAGGGGTGACAACTCTGTGGGAGGCAAAGCAACAGTAGTGAGAGTGGACTAGTTCCCATTCTCAAGGGACAAGCTTTCAATTTTCCGCATTTAGGATGATATTGGCAGAGTGTTTGTCATATATGGCTTTTATTATGTTGAGATACTTTACATCTATACCTAATTTATTGAGAGTTGTTATCATGAAGCGATGTTGAATTTTGTTGAATGCTTTTTCTGTATCTATTGAGATAATCATGTGTTTTTTCACTTGATTTTTTTGATGTGGTGTATCACATTTATTGATTTGTGTATGTTGAGCTATCCTTGCATCCCTGGGATGAATCCCGCTTGATCATGGTGCATAATCTGATTTTTAAACTAATGTGTTTGAGTAATACATTATGATCCAGAAACAGTTATAAATAATTTTTTGCAATTAAGAAACTTTAAATCTAGGACAGAAAAAAATTACAAGAGAACTATTTTTTTTTCTGGGATGAATCCCGCTTGATCATGGTGCATAATCTGATTTTTAAACTAATGTGTTTGAGTAGTACATTATGATCCAGAAACAGTTATAAATAATTTCTTGCAATTAAGAAACTTTAAATCTAGGACAGAAAAAAATTACAAGAGAACTATTTTTTTTTAAAGTGCGCTCAAAATGATAGGCTACAAGAAGAATGGGGTGTAGAAATATAAACTCTGTCAATGCTTCCAAAGCCATGTGTGGTGCAGAACTATTTCTCATCCAATCTGTCATAAATCATAAAGAATACAACCAAAAAGTAAAATTCTAGAAAAATTAAATTAAAAAGCATAAGTCACTATTTTCAATAGTTATATTTAGAAGAGATGAAAATTTATTTCAATAAACACATTCAAACAATCATATCACAAAAAAGGAAAAAAATTACAAAAATGTACCTGTTCATCATTGAAGTGAGCATTTTGAAGATAAATTAGGAGAATTACTATAACAGTTGTACCTTTGTGTCATCACACAGCATAACTAATCAGACATTTATGAATAAAATAGCAATTCCTTATGTGGAATATATTTAAGCCTATTTTAAACAGGTATATCAATAATTAAAGTTTTTAGTGTAGCAAATGTGCTTGGTATTCACTTATTAATTTATCAAATCTACAGTAAGTTACAACCTCACCACTTGCAGGAAGTAATACATATTTAAACTCTTCTATAGTTTGTTTAAAAACACTCATGTTAGGAAGTCAGTCTCACAGATGCATGAGACAAGGGTGGGAAAGAGATTATAAATCAAGCTCAGAAAATTCAACATGTTCATTTACAGTTTTTATCCAAGTGAAAGAAGTTATCCCATATCTCTAAGATTCATTTACCTAAAATTTTACAGTGTAAAACTGTTAAATTTAAATAAGCTTTTGATTAAAAAACAAGTAAAAACAAAAATGAATTTAAATCCATAAATTTCCTATGGATAGATCTATTTTGAGGGAAAATATAATCCAAAACATTATATTGAATTCATAAAGTGATTGGCAATAACTTTCAACAATGCACAATATTAAGATCATGACTATGTTAGTTCATTTCTGTTGCTTATAACAAAAAACCTGAAACTAGGTAATTTATCAAGAAATGAATTTTATTTCTTACAATTTCAGAGGCTGGGAAGTCCAAAGTCCAGGGAACACATCTGGTGAGGGCTTTCTTCTATAGCAATTCAGTGTGTCACATGATGAGAATGGGCTGAGTGAGAGTGAGTAAACCTTCTCACTCACTCTCCTCATAAAGCCATCAGAACCACACTAATGACCACCCTTTGACCCATCAACCCATTACTCCTTGAATGGATCAATCCATGTGCAAGGGCACAGTCCTTACAATCTAATCACCTCTTAAAGGCCCCACCTTTTAAATACCATAATTGGATTTTCCACCCACTTAACACTGTTAAATGGAGATTAAGTTTCCATTACATGAATTTTCAGGGGAAGTATTTGACACATAGCAATGACCTATTTCACTGATAATTGTTGTTAAATTATGGAAATGCTTTTTTCCCAAACTTCAAACTTTCCTTTGTGCCCTTTAATCTTATTTGCCATCAAGAACACATGTGTGAAAATACCAAAATCATTAAATATACATTCCTTGTGTGAAAAGATTAAAGTCATTAAATATATTAAAGATGAGAGACAGATAAACAAGTTTGTCTAATTCACATTTTTTAAAAATTGGGACCAAAACTGGTTTCTTGTCTTGTAAAAACACTGAGAATTTGTTCTATAGTTCAAGCATTGTCAACTGAACTTTTGCACTTGAAAACATCATACTTTAGTATAAAATAACATTTGTCTAAAATCAGATTTTTTATTATCATTTAACAGAGCACAATTTGATTTCAATACTTGTGCCATTATATATTCATGATTTCAATACAATTTCAATACAAATCACTAAGCACATTGCTTAGTTTGCGTGATTTTTTTTTTTAATACTAAGTCTCTCAATAAAGAAAGTAGTGTGTTGGTTTATATTTTGGTGTGATGACCTTAATTTTGTGCAAGTTACTGCCATTAAAACATATTCTTACACAAAATTTAAAGTCTAATTCACATCTTACCCCTTCACAGTCTTATATCACTCAGAGCTAGTTGTGTTTGTTGGCAATTGATCTATGTTCAGTAGTAAGTATACTGAAAGAATTCCACGTTAACAATATTTGTGCATTTATCAAGTTACAATAAAAAAGATTTTGCTGAATTCATTTATTCAGTGAACTGGTCTTTTATATCTTTAGCCAATTCCTGATTATGTGCAGATGCTGTGTCATTGGAAAGTGGCCTGTGAGCTTCCTTCTTTGCTAGAAATGCACATAACATTTCTAATAACACCTTTGATGCCATCTTTCACTAATGTCATGATAAATGTATATATATTATTATACATTTATATTAGTTTGTATATTAGTATATATATTATATGTATAATTAGTGTATATATATTAGTTTATATTATTATTACATATATATTAGTTACAGATATATTAGTTGGTTGGCCGAAGAACACCATAGAGCTACTTTATAAGAATGTGCAAAATGCTAATGTTTGTAAGGTAAAATAGACATCTGCTTCTGTAATATTTTTAATTCAATCGTCTTTCAAAGAACTCTTTAGTTTTTGAATTTACTTTTTAAAAATATTTTTCATGTAAATGCTGATTAAGTTTTGATGGATGGTTTCATTGATCTATTAGCCAGTAAATCTCTGAGAATAACACATTGGATTTTGCAGTTCAACAATAGTTACTTGAAATTTTCCAAGTGTGGAAATTTCAGGGTAAATCAATATATCAAAATTCATCTGAGTTTGGTTGTAATTCTCTTTCTGAGGGGGAAAAAGAGAAATATATTTGCTAGTGATATGTAATCAAAATCTCAATAGTTACTTGAAATTTTCCAAGTGTGGAAATTTCAGGGTAAATCAATATATCAAAATTCGTCTGAGTTTGGTTGTAATTCTCTTTCTGAGGGGGAAAAAGAGAAATATATTTGCTAGTGATATGTAATCAAAATCTTGTCTCCACAACTTCCAAACTGCCCAAGTCAGAAGAATATTTTATGGAGTTATTCTGTAGGTAATATTTTGTACATTAAATTTAATATAAATTGCTAGGATATTATGCATACATTAGAGTTGTTATCATCACTTTTCGTAGTATTATGTCCTAACTATTCATGCCTAATTAAAGCAATATTTTCCATTGCATGTCAAACATTCAGTGAAACCCAGTCCTACTTTAAACCCTTTGTTCATGCCTCTTCCCAGAATTACCCAACTCTGCTGATTATGTGCAGATACCGTGTCATTGGAAAGTGGCCTGTGAGCTTCCTTCTTTGCTACAAATGCACATGTATATTTACATATTAGGTTAAATATTTACTTAGCAAGGCATAATAAAAACTAAATAAGTTCTATTTTTTTCTCCCAGGTGTACTGCCTAATATATTTGCAGCAATTAATTTTCAAATTATATATCTATCACATATTATTTATAGTCTTCAATATAGTTAGGGACCATGTCT